CTCAAATGGCAGGATTTCCATCTTTCTCATGGCTGAATAATATTCCTTTGTATAGATATATAGATATATATCTATGTATATATCTCACATCTTCTTTATCCATTTGTCCATCAATGGACACTTAGGTTATTTCCATATCTTGGCTTTTGTGAGTAATGCTGCTGTGAACATGGGAATGCAGATATCTGTTTGATATCCTGTTTTCATTTCCTTTGGATATACACCCAGAAGTGGGATTGCTGGATCATTTAGTAGTTCTGTTTTGACTTTTTTGAAGAAACTCCCTACTGTTTTCCATAGTGGCTGCACCAATTTACAGTCCCACTAACAGTGGGCAAGTATTCCCTTTTCTACACATCCTTGCCAACACTTATCTCTTGTCTTTTTGATAATAGCCATTCTAACAGATGTGTCATGATATTTCGTTGTGGTTTTGATTTACCTTTCCCTAATGATTAGCGATTTGGAGCACCTTCTCATGTACCTGTTGGCCATTTATATGTCTTCTTTGGAAAAATGTCTGTTCAGTTCCTCTGCCTTTTTTATTTCATTTTTTGTTTTTTTTTTTGCTGTTGTGTTATATGAGTTCTATATATATGAGTATATATTTTGATATTAACCCCTTGTCAGATATATGATTTGCAAATATTTTCTCCAATTCTTTTTCCTTTTGATAGTATCCCATAAGTCCCTTAAGGTATCATCACTCTTTCGTTCTTTTTTCTTTTTGTTCCTCTGCAGGATGAATTCTATTGCTCTATCTTCGAGTTCACTAATCCTTTCTTTGGCTTCTCTAGTCTGCTACTGAACTCCTCTGTGAATTTTTCAGTTCAGTTATTGTAGTCTTCAACTTTGTGATTTCTGTTTGTTACTTTCTTATATTTTCTATCTGTTTGTTGAAATTTTCACTTTATTCATCCATCATTCTCCTGACCTCAGTAATCATCTTTATGATCATTATTTTGAACTTTTTATCAGGTAAATACCTTTTAAATACAGACCCTCCATTTCATTAAGGTCTGTTTTGGAGGTTCAATCTTGTTCTTTTGTTTGGAACATATTTCTCTTTCTTTCATTTTCCTTGACTCTCTGTGTTGGTTTCCGCACCTTAGATAAAACAGCCACCTCTCCCAGTCTTGATGGAGTGGTGTCATGGAGGAGATGAACATTATTCAGCTGGGCCTAAGCTCTTGGTTGTCGCTCAAACCTTTATGATTGTCCAAGCTGCCTTCTTTGTTCTTCGTGGCTCCTAATAGTTGAGGGTATGCCAAGACCTGTTTTGATGTGATAGTTTCTTGTTCACCCAATGTGTAGGTGTTGCTCAGCTAGTTTCTGGATTTCATTCAGAGGGAACTGCTCCATGTGTATCTGTAGATTTGGTATGTCCACGAGAGGAGGTGAGTTTGGGAGACTTCTATGTTGCCCTATTGTATAGGAACTTTAAAAGTGACTACATAAAATATATTTGTCATATAATTATAGGGTACATAGAGACTTGAAAAGAGTGATACATTTAAGTCATAATCCTGAGGTTATTAACGAAGTACTTTTTCTTTATGATGTTGTTACTTTTATCATTGAACTTCATTTTTTATAAATATTCCCTATATACGTTAAAGAATTTCTGAAATATAGATTTCCCTATAAGACTTCCTTAACCACATCTATGCTTTATATGTTGTGAAATTACTATAACTTTTGATGATCTCTTTTACTAAAGCTCCTATGTTCTCTATAGTAGTTATCCGCCTCTCTACTCTACCGTACTGTGAACTCAAGAGCAAGACCAAAGTATTTCCCTGGCATCTAACTGACGAAGCAGTTCCCCAACGTTTCTAGATGGAATAGAAGCAGAGAGGCAAAAGAAATTTCTGTCGATAAAAGTTTTTGAAAAGTTGAAAAACAGTGATAATATAAATATCTCTTATCAAGGACCATTTAGATCTAAGCATTTCAGTTAAAAGTTAATGTTGCTTTTTGAGTTTGCCAAATCTTTTACTGACATTCCGCTTTTTAGATTTGAGCTGTGGTGTTTTAATTTTATGGAAGCATTTTCATTCATTTTATCTGGATTTAATACATAAAATATCAGAGTGCAGCTTAGAAATATTAAATCAAAATGTCCAGATTTAAACTCTTGAAACTGTATAAATTAAATTTACATTCATGACATCCAAAATAGGATACAAGTAACTACTGTAAAATAAACAAAAAATGTTATATTCCTGAGTATTTTTACTTTTTACCATGCTATTCTTCACAATTTTTAAATATTTCTATGCTAATTTATTGTATACATGAAAAACAATAGCAGCAACCACAACAACATCAACAAGAGGAACAGTAATTTTTGAAAATTTACTATGTATCTGAAGTGGCTTCTGTATGTATAAAATCTCATTTCTCATAGTATTGTCATGACTGTCTATTATTCCCATTTTACTGAAGACAGTGAGGCTTATAAAGTATATTTAGAAAATTTTTTGAGTACTTGAATTTGCTAGAGTGAGACTATATTTTACAACATTAAATAATTATTGTGTCATGCTACTTTATTAAGATGGAATAATTGTAGTTCCTATCACTGAGCCTTTACTACAGGCTTTTAGAATGTGCTTAGTCACTAAAAATCAAATGACATTAAAGGATCCAACTACTTAACCCTCAAGACATTGTCATTTGCAGAATGAAACTATAAATTTTAAAAAGTAGTCTCTTATGCTAATTAATAGATTTTGAAGTTCTACAACTATTCTTTTAGCTCTACCTTTACAAAGTATAACAATTCTAAATCTATTTGTAGATTCTAAGCATTTGGCTACACCATACATTATATAGTAATTTCAGTACTACATTTTCATAGGCTACCTTTATTTTCTAATGTTTAAGCTTAAAAAGAAACAAGTAAAACTAATGCCCTGAGCACTCTACTATAACCTACTATACTCTGCTCTGCTATATTCTAGAAAAATTGTGATAAATTTTGATATAAGGCATCATCTTGAGTATATGCCTTTACACTACGGAAACCTCATAAATCATCTTTTGGAATCTCAGACTGACCATGTCTTAAAATTGTTATGGATATACCAACCACATTACAAATTCAATATCTGTATGGATTTTTATGAAATCTTTAATAAGTGATGGATTGTACAGCTTGTGAGTGATTCAATCATGAAAAATGAAACCAAGTCTGTAAGAATCTATTTTTATTTTTTATGGGTAAATTCCATGGAATAAGCCTTAATTATGGCCAGCTGTTTTAAAATCCTTGTTTAATAATTTCTGAAGTGTCCTTAGTATGCTCAAAATAACAGGCTAAACTATTGAATGAAGAGTGGCTAATAGCTTTTTTTAATCTGCTACCCTTTATTCGTCTCTATCTAATGTCTTACTGTAGAATCAGTCCTAGTGAATCCATAAAGGCTAATGGCTAAGAACTCTACTGTTTCTACCCAGACTTAGTTGAGATTAGGTCACTTACTAGATGGTGTTCTGCATTCGTCCAGTTGTATTCAATATGTATCATAAATTAGTATCTACTAAAAACATTGACACTGGATCAAGAAACTTTGACAGAAAAGCTCCACGAGTGGGGCCAGACAGCTGGTATCTTATTTAACTCTGATTCCTTCACAACAGCAGGGAACTTAGAAACATACAGTTAATTTGTTTCGTTTTTGTTTTTGTTTTGAAGCTAAATCTTCAGAACAATTACCCTGGTAAAAAAAAAAAAAAAAAAAAAAAAACAGAGATGGGGGCAGGTAGTAGGGAAGGAGAGAGAGAAAAGAGAGAAAAACAAGGAAGGATGGAAGGGAGGGAGGGAAGGTGAAAGAAAAAAAGGGAGAAAATTGATATATGAAGAATTCATATGATATTTGGAAATATCATATCACCTGGAATAAAAATAAACAATGTCCTACCAAAATATATCCCTACTGGATAAATGAGAGAAGAGTTCCATGATTCAGTGTTACTGCTTGTTGAATGTTTGAACTATGTTGATGCTGACTACAGGGATTGTTTTTGAAGAGTAAAGTGGGAAGAGAAGAGAATTTGGAAGACAACTGGCTTTTAAAATTTGGAGATTTTGAAAGTGTTGAAAATGGTACTTCAATCACTGAGTTGAAAGAATTTCAATTTAAAGAGATAATTAAAAGTGTTTTCATTAAAGGAGAAGAATTCTGCTTTCTTTTAATACTTTCATTTTAAAATATCCTTAACATTTGTAACAAAAACATTTCTGGTGCTGTATATACTTGCTAGTTTTTAGCTGATAAGAAACCATAAACTTAAAATATCAACAATTCATTTCTATCAAAATTAGATTTCTCATAATAATTATTCCCCATCTTTTTTCTATGTGGCTACTTACAGAAAGAAAATATGTTCTTCAGAATAAGGAATAGTTTGCTAACTTGTTTATCAGTCAAAAATAATTTTATTGTGCCTTGTAGTAAGTGCCATGTTAATGCACGATCAATATTAATTGATGAACTAAAGTTAAAAAGTGAATAATAATTTATAAGATACAGTCATGTTTTCACTTTTTCAGTTGATTTATTTGTATGTTTGGATTGAGTCATCTCAATTGACTGCCTTTAAATGAAGGATACAATAAGAAATGTTCCTTAATTTCATAAGTGAATTCTATGCTCTGGAGTCTCTTATGTTAGGATCATCTTCATGCAAAATTTTTACAAAATATCTGGTCAAAAATGGGCAAAGATATTTCTATCATATCTTGGTGATTGAAAAGATTACTTGTTAATGTCAAGTGATTCATTTAGATCCCACCAAGATCTCAGAAAGTCCTATTTCATATATCAACTATTATTGAAATCCGAACAATGTCCTTTTGTTATTGGTGCCAGCTCCAATATTCATGTTCTAGTAAGCTTCTGCATACTAGAGCCCACTTTTTGTGCCCTTTATAGTTTGTGACAACTGTTGGCCTTTTAAATTATTACTAATAACTTACTAATTTTTCAATACAGGTAATGGATTAGGAATTAGAATTGTGGGTGGTAAAGAAATTCCTGGACATAGTGGAGAAATTGGAGCCTATATTGCCAAGATTCTTCCTGGGGGAAGTGCAGAACATACAGGGAAACTTATGGAAGGTAAGATTAAGGATTTCAAAGTAAATTAAAATGAATGTATTCATATTAAATACATTTTTATTTCATATTCAAATTTTCTCTTCCTTTACTGTCTAGGTAAATATTTCTCATTATGGTTAATTATGACATTTTGATAGGGTAATATAAAAGAAAATATGTCCACAACTATATTCATTTTATTTTCAATTGCATTGTCCTTTTGGCAGTTGGTTTGCTATGGAAATAACTTGTTTAAGAAACACTAATTAGTCAAGATTTTTACTGACTAGGGCACTATTATTAAAACACACTTTGGGTATCAGGATTAATGTTTCAGAAATACTGAGGAAAATTATGTTGAAATCAGAGCCCTAAAAAGATCAGATGATTCAGTACAATCTAATGTCAGGTCAACAAACTACAGGTGACCCACGGGCCAGATTTACCTGCTGCCTCTTTCTATAAACAATGTTTTATGAGGATACAGCCAGGATCATTAACTGACATATTGTACATGGGTGTTTTCCCACTACAATAGCAGAAACTGCCTTTGACAGAGACTAAATGGTCTACAAAACTAAAATATGTACTTTCTGGCCATTTTCAGCAAAAAGTACCAACTCCTAGATATAGTCTACTTTTAGATACTATCCATCTCATTACATCATAAGCATTTTAAAATAATGAACTTTACAGATGTGTTTAATGGGCCATACAATATATATTTTTACCAGTTTCTTTCAGTAAAATGTTACAGCTTGATTTTCAAAATACATAATGATAATTTTCACTTACTAACTAGATGATGTGGTCATTCACTTTTTCCAAACTCTAATATAGATATAGTTTGTAAGCTTTCAGTGGTCTTTACAATGAACATTTTTTAACATAAAGTAACTTCAATCTATCTCTTTGTTTTATTCCAAAGACGTAAAATGTATTTTATTATTATTATTTTATTGAGGTCATAGTGGTTTGTAACATTGTGTAATTTCATGTCTACATTATTATCAGTTTCTGTATGGACTACATCTTTCTCACCACCAACAGTCTAATTTTTATCAATCACCATACATATGTGCCCCTTTATCCCTTTTGCCCAACTCCCTGCCCCTCTGGTACCCACTAATCTGTTCTTTTTGTCCATGTATTTGTTTATCTTCCACATATGAGAGAAATCATGTGGTGTTTTTCTTTCTCTGTCTGGCTTATTTTGCTTAACATAATATCCTCCAGGTCCATCCATGTTGTTGCAAATGGGGTGGTTTTGTCTTTCTTTATGGCTGAGTAGTATTCCATTGTATATATATACCACAGCTTCTTTATCCATTCATCAGTTGATGGGCACTTGGGTTGCTTTCACATCTTGGCTATTGTGAGGAATGCTTCAGTGAACATAGGAGTGCATTAATCTCTTTGTGTTATTGATTTCAAGTTCTTTGGATAAATACCCAGTAGTGGGACAGCTGGATCATATGGTATTTCTATTTTTAATTTTTTGTGAAATCTCATATTATTCTCCATAGTGGCTGCACCACTTTGCATTCCCACCAGCAGTGGATAAGGGTTCCCTTTCCCCACATCCTCTCCAACATTTGTTACTTTTTGTCTTGGGAATTATAGCCATTCTGACCAGTGGAAGGTGAGATCTCATTGTACTTTTGATTTGCATTTCCCTAATAATTAGTGATGTTGAACATCTTTTCATGTGTCTGTTAGCCATCTGTATATCTTCTTTGGAAAAATGTCTGTTCATATCTTCTGTCCATTTTTTGATAGGGTTGGTTTTTTTTATTGTTTAGTTATATGAGTTCTTTATATATTTTGGATATTAACCCCTTGTCAGATAGTTGATTTGCAACTATTTTCTCCCAGTTGGTGGGTTGTCTTTTCATTTTGTTCATGGTTTCCGTTACCTTTCAGAAGCTTTTTAATCTTTTTTATCATTTTTTTCTTTTGTTTCTCTTGCCTTAGTAGACATGGTGTTTGAAAAGATGCTGCTAAGACCAACATCAAAGAGTGTACTGCCTATATTTTCTTCTAGGAATTTATGGTTTCAGGTCTTACATTCAAGGCTTTAATCCATTTTGAGTTAATTTTTGTGTGGTGCAGGAAAACGGTCTACGTTTATTCTTTTGCATGTGGCTGCCCAGTTTTCCCAAAGCTATTTGTTGAAGAGATTTTTCTTTCTCCTTTGTGTGTTTTTGGCTCCTTTGTTGAAGAGTAACTGTCCATAGATGTGTGACTTTATTTCTGGGGCTCTCAATTCTGTTCCATTGATCTGTGTGTCTGTTTTTGTGCCAGTACCATGCTGTTTTGATTACTTTAGCTTTGTAGTATATTTTGAAATCAGGGAATGTGATACCTCCAGCTTTGTTCTTTTTTCTCAAGATTGCTTTGGCTATTTGAGGTCTTTTGTTGTTCCATATAAATTTTAGGATTTTTTGTTCTATTTCCATGAATAATGTCATTGGGATTCTGATTGGGATTGATCTATGTTTTTTATTTTACTCTAAATAAAATACTTGTTTGGAAAGTATTTTTCTATCATTTCATAGTTTAATAAAATGTTGCCTGTTACTTAAAAATTTTGATTATGTTCAAATGATTCACTGTTATTTTCTTAAGTTAAATGTATTGGAACTTACCAAAAAAGTCCCTGGATGTTTTGATAGACCATTAGAACAAACACAAACTTGAGGTAATGTTTATTCATCACACTGTTTTGCTCGAGCCATCTTACTCCATCTCACTAAAATATGCTGTGCATATCTTTGCATTTAGTGACATCACATTGATGGCTTGAATTGGCCATGGTGGTGGTATTTACAACATGGAAATAGACAAATGAGATTAATCAGGACTTTTTTGTTTTTTATTTGCTTGTTGGATTTTCAGAATGCCAGGTTAACAGGACATTACCAAATATATAACTGAAAGCATATTATTAAAGATATTTTAATGGCATTCACAAAACACAAAAGGTTAGGAGAACTAGCCAGACACCTAAATGAAGGTAGAGACTGTATAAATCAAGATATAACAATTCTGAGGGGCCAGCCCCATGGCCGAGTGGTTAAGTTCGCACGCTCTGCTTCGGCGGCCCATGGTTTCACCAGTTCAGATCCTGGGTGGGGACATGGCACCACTCATCAGGCCAGGCTGAGGCAGCATCCCACATGCCACAACTAGGAGGACACACAACTAAAATATGCAACTATGTATACATATATAGAAAAAAGATATAACAATTCTGAGCAAAACACTAGGTCTGTATGAAGTTTCTATGATGATAATCCTATCATGCCCAATGCTACTCTTTTGTTGTTGCAGTCAAGTTAAGATACAGGAATTGAGACCATTTTTAAGGATGGGAGTTATATGATCACTTTCATGTAGCATACTCCAGAAGGAAACAAATATGCTATTTTTATTTTAAAATTTTTAAAAATTACAAGAATAACTATACCAGATATAGTTTGGCAAAGATACTTGAATAATTTAAAGATAAAATTTCGTACTCTTCATTGTGTCAGCAAATGCTACAGATCAGGATGATTTGAAAGATAATTTCAATGAAGCATGCTGTGATGAAGTGATACTCTCTGCACTTAGTAGCCTATGTGGCCATTTTTAAGCTCAGAAGTTTAAATAAAAATTAGATATAATACAAACTAATTCAAGAGAGAAAACTTGAAATGAGCCTACAATTACATGTGTGATTTTACAGGCTCAAAGACTGCCACTAAAGTCCTCATCTCTTCTGGAGCTAGTTTTACAGTTTATCTCATCAGTTTAAGTGGGAAATCATTAAAAACCATGTGCATATGATGTAAGATGTTATTTTTATTAATTATCTTATTTATTAATTCTCTCAAGATTTGCCAAGATACCAAGCTAAGCCTTCCTATGACCATAGATCCTCTGGTTGGATCCAGTTCTTGTATAACCCACACTGATAATTTATTTATGATTTCCAGATTTGCTTTATTTACTCTTACAATATAGATCTTTAATAAAACACTTGGTAGTATTTCTATTAGATTCATGATGCTGTGTTGACTGTCAATATTTAGATAGTATTTTTGAAACATTAAGTAGTTTTAGGAGTTACTTCAACATATGATAAATCACTTACTTTCCTCTCATCCGTAAGGCTATACCTATGTTCTGTGCCACCAGGCTAGAATGATAAAAGTTCATTCCTCTTATGTTCAAAGATGAACTCACAAGAAGGCCATCAGTCCAAATGAGTGTTGACAAGCACTCACCTGTTTAGACCAGCACATTTTCTGGAGAGAGAGAGAGATACACACACACACATGTATATTGCTTTGTTTTGTCTATAATTATGTGTTTCATTCATATGTAGTATCCATAGAGCCCTCAGCCTGATGTGAGGCATCACTATAAAAATACTAATTGTATACCATTGGAGTTATATGGACTTTTAAGTTTTAAAATGTTTTCATGACTATAGTATTTTTGAAATTTCATTTATTGAAGGCAATAAAGATGGCTAATTCTCTATAGTTTGAAGTTAATTCTTTCATAAGGGAAAATTATAGATAAATAGATAGATAAAATATCTTTGTGTTTATGTAATTGAACATATTCATCTGTAGAATGAATTCCATGTATACTTAGGAATTGATTTGATCTCTTCCAGGTATATCTTTCTGCATTTCTGAATACAAGAGTATATAGACTCAGCCTTTCTGATTCAAAACTTTCTTCCAGTTGATTTAAAACATGAATGACAATTGGTTGGCTATAGAATTCTTAGACTGTATTTTTTTCCACTCCAAACTATGAAAGCTATGTTGAGAAACAGTTTGAGTCTACTGTTTTTTCTAATTTTGGTCATTTCTCTTAACAATAGACTTTTCGGATTCCTCATGGTCTGACATATTAACACTCCTGCAGCAGTCAATTGCATAGATTTCAATTGTGTTGACTTTTGGGAGAGTAAGAGTATTTTCAAATTTTCTCTAGCTTTTTATTTTCTGGATTTATGCAAT